ATTATTATGAGTTTTCTATTTCGAATAAATCGTTCTAAGCGATAACTACTGTACTGAAATCTTATCACTACGAATTTTATCTCTGAATAGATATTAATTTAGTTTTTGCTAGAATACCAAGATCTGAAAGAAAAATAACATTTTGATTGCTTTTTCGAAAATGTAAAAATGTATCTAACAATAAGTCAACCATCATTAGGCAACACACAATACACCAATACAGAATTAATGCTGTTTAAGTCATTTGGTTCATAACAATTAAGTTCTGATTCGATTTTATGGTATGTTGTCGATCCAGCAAGAAACGTCCTAGCTGCAATTTGCCGGGATTTCTACCAGGATAGCTATTCAGTAAGTCATGGGAGCGCTCCCATGGGAGTGTTCCCATATATTTTGCTCTCTTACTCTTAGGTGGGTATATCATGCTTACTCCGATCTAACTACGCATGTACCTGGGCTAAAAGTGAGTAAACACGATATACCCACCTAAGAGTAAGAGAGCAAAATATATGGGAACCATGACTTAGTGAATAGCTATCCTGGTAGAAATCCCGGTGAATGACATCGTGGTAGAAATTAAGAATTATGTCCAAGGGTATGCAACTTTATATACACACGTGTATGTTGGGTTGTTGTAATAGTAGGGTGTTACAAGTTTTATTAGCAAAAATAATTTACCATTAAATTTATGGTGAGTTCTTTTCATTCATGAAAAAACTAAGCATATGTACTTGTAGCTATCACTATTGTAAACAAAAAATCTTAGTTCTATATCTTGTGCAAATTAATAATAAAGATACAATTAATTTTTTTAAATAGAAATATTTTCCAAAATAATTAGCAAAGTATATTACAAATGGTACTATTTACTGATCTTACCTGAGTCCCGCTCAAACGTGGACCACGTTCATTTGCTATCAAGATATAGCTTGATGACCAACGGAGTTAACAAACAGCGTCAATTCGCCAGTTTGTTAACTACTGTGTTGATGTTTATATTTTTATTTAGCTTGATTCTATTCTAGATATAGAGAGGATTGAACCCTCTTTGGTAATAAAATGACATACATACATTAAATACATCAAAATGTATACATTAAATTTACAAAAAAAAAACGAATTCGGACAATAATGCAACTAAATAAAACTAGAACTAGACACATTAAATATAAAAATTGAAGTAAAATAAGACGTACTCGTACAAGATAAAACTAGATATTACCCAAACCTAAACAATTTTTTTATATCACATTCTCTACAATTGAAAATATTAATGTTTTGAGAAGGAGCATTAAAATTGGTTTGCATTTGATCAAGTGGTAATAAAATGTTTGTTCGTAAACGTATTTGCGACAAAAGTTCGGCACAATTAATTTTGTAGTTCATGAGTTTATACAAAAATGATATAGAATGCATTACTCGACGATCTTGAAAATTTACACAATTAAAATGTTGAAGCAACTGATTCTGTGGAAATCGCGAGGGGGTATTAATCGTAAATTTTAAAATAGAGACTTTTCAAGAATCGTCTTTGTACCTTTTCTAGGTTTGCAATATGAACATCATATAATGGGGACAACACACTGCGCTTGCGTATTCCAGTTTGGATATAACGAAGGAACTAAATAACATTTTGCATATGTCTATACTTCTGAAATCATTCATACTTCTGAGAATAAATCCAAGAATTCAAAAGGCAGAAGCAACTATGCCGTTAATGTGTGCAACAACACTTAACTTCAGGTCAAAACTAACTCCCAAGTCCTTTATATAATTTGGTCTGTTTAAACGCGTAGTTACATTTTTGCGCGTTTAGTTCTAGACAGTTAATGGTAAGTACTATTTACAAACTCGTTTTTGATTCAGTGTTAAAATAATTGGTTTGTTATTTAAATTTCTTTTTGTTTTCAGTTTTTAAATGATCATTGTAAAGAAAATGTTGGCCCTCCAAAATTCCCTGTCGATTGATGAAATATTTGAGCCTCAGCCATCAATATCAAAAACTGATTCAATGCCATCGACATCAAACAAGAAAACGCCCTAAAATATTCAAGGGTCCAAACGTGTGTAAGTTTAATTTATGCTCAAAAGTTAAATTTATTTATCACAGTGCCCACATGATGAATAAATATTTGATAACTACAAGTGCTGTATAAATGAATCAAGAAAACAATTATCGGATGAAGAAATGCTCCTCAACCTAACTAGTCGACTCAATAGCTGTATTGGCAAATTTTATCCACATTCAAATTTGCCTCGATAGTAAAAAAAGGATGATGCTTCAACTTCAATTTTTTCAAACTTATTTGCCACTCCAAGTCGCAAAACTTTTATAAAGGTCTTGAGCACTTATATATGCTGATTTTGTTACAGAAAACATTTTTGATAGGTTTGTATTATAAATATTTAATTATTTAAATGGTGTAAATGCATATTTGTTTAGAGTATTTCCATGTTTAAATAGACAAATTATATGATGCGGCGTTAATTTACTGTAAGAAAAAAAAAATTAATTGCATTTTATTTCAAGTTTGAAATTAATGCAAAAATATAATGAAGTAAAATCAAATAAAGATATAAATTGGCAAAATATTTGACTAATTTCAAATCACAAAACAGTCAATATGGTTGTTTTATGATTTGAAACTAGTCAAATATTTTTCCAATTTTTTTTGCTTTATTTGATTTTCTTAATTACATTTTTGCGCTACTACAAAGTTAAATTTCAAAAAGCCCGCTCGTGGCGGCCATATTGAATTTTAGTATGGTCGACTGAAGGCTGTAAATCGCTCTCCGCACAGGTACTGTACTAGTTAATCTGCATGATTCTGCGGGTAGATAGCATTCTTGTTTTACCTTTTGTAAAAGGCTATAACAAGGGAATAATTTTTTATTGGTATTTCTAATAATTTCATATTGCCGACGAGTTAAATCAGCTTCTATGAATATTGCTAATGCTTGTAATGGAGTAAGAGAGCAAGTTTCTTCACTTTTTGATTTAGAAAATGCTTTTTTATATTTAAGAAATGAAGCGAGAGGGTATTTAAAGTGTGTAAATATTGAGTTTTATTTAATAAGACACTAAGACAATCTAAAAAATTATAAAAAAAATATTACAGATAGTGTGCTATACTAGGATCCATAACTTTTTCTTTAGAAAAAAATGTAAACTAATAAATATTTACTGTTTCAATTAAGGTTTTCACCAGAACACTTTCACATACACGTAATAATATACTAACTAAAACAGTCAAATTCAAACTGCCAGTCAAGAAGCGGGGTGCACTGAACGAAAACGGGAGGGGATGAAAAATGTGCTGTAACTAGTCCCCTAACCCAGGTAGTCGTTTCTATTCAAAAATTTGCATTTTGTAAAATGGACTTTTGGCCGCGTAGATTATTCAAATACCCCTCTATGTGCGACGACAGCAGATTTAGTATGACAATATTGGCCGCCTTACTTCTGTCTCGGGTCGCTTGTCGCGCGTTCTCAAATGGTACCTTGATATTTTGAAGAAAAGGCCAAGCCATCGTTCAAACGAAACCCCGGTGGAATCTCAAAGACAGTTACATAAACTTTTTTGACTCACTATTGAAATTACAGACATTAGATTCGTCTATACTAAACATTATGTACTAATTTTATATAGCGTTGTGACGGCGTCGATTTTAGTACGTCGCAGCGTTGAGCGTCGCCTTCCGTCGAGACGCCTAACGTCATGGCGGAGAGCAAGGTATTTATTACGGTACTGCGTCGGGACAGATATACAGTACAAAATACTTGGTGGTGCTGCGCGACGAAGACGAAGGGTGTTGTCAAGGATATTATGAAAGAAATATTTAGGGACGGACAGCGTTGGGTATTTAGAAAGGTAGGGAAATAGGGCGTCGAGACGTCCAGCGTTTAGGAGGTATTGTAGGATAGACGTCGGTTAAGAAGAGCGTCGATTTTGAAAAGCTACTTAATTTGAAACAACTGGATACGAAATAATAGTGGATTAATATAAAATAATAATCCAATCTATGTAAAATCATAATTAATCTCGAGCTCCTTCGGTTTGGGTCTTTATACCAGTTTTAATGGCTTTTTGTGACGTCAGTTTGTCGTAGCTCCGGTGGGAACGAATTTGGGTGGATAAAAAGGGGTGGTAGATTTATTGAGAACTTCTAAGCAGGTTAAGTGTTTTAATGATTACTTCGTGAAAATAAATATGTTTATGGATCGAATTCTCATGGGATAACTTTTTATCTTTTCTGTAATATTAGATACACCGCGAATAGAAATATTGCATTTATTTATTAAGCATCATAAATAGGATTTAATTATGTAATAGGGATTTGAATTTAATAACGCAACTTTTTTTTAAAAAAATGGAGGTAAGATACTTGTTCTAACTTTTATATTATTATTTCGTGGTGATGATGATGATAAAGTTGATTTGTGTTTTGACACAATTTTTTGAAAGGGCTTCAAGCTCCCTCACAAGAAGTTTTTCCGCCGCCAATGCAATGGTTTTTCCTTTAAAATGTTCGTATTATGTTGAAAATAACGTTATTATAATGAATTACAGTGCGTCTTAAGTTGTTTATTCGATCCAGTTTTCTTAGGTCTACCCTTCTTACCTCATTCATTGTTTACTATAAGGAAGATGTGTTCGGACCATTTTAATTTTTTATTCAAAATTGGATTTTAGTGAGCAGTTTTTGAGCCTCATTATTTTGTAACATGATTTCTGCAGAATTTGAAGTAAATTTACAGGATATTCGTAACATTTAGATTGACAATCTCTTGAAAATATTAAAAAATCAAGCATTTTTAAATTCTACAATAAAAAGTTTATAACATTTTCTTCATAAAATCTGCCAAAATATTCAGACGTTCCTGTAAATTATATTTATTTTTAATTTTTTTTTTTTTTTTTGTTATTAATTCAAGTCTTGTGATTTCTTCTGTTATTGGGCGTAATTTAAGGACATGGGAGGGTAATAAAAAAACAGTATAGTAAAGTAGTGGCAGCAGTTTTAATGCTTATTTCTCAATAAAAAACAAATACGAAAAAATACGTTAAAAACTAACACTTCCTGTTAACACCACAAACGCCGGCAAAACAAAAAGTCAGTCTTTCAATTAATTTTTTTCTTTTTTCTTTCCAACTTGTGTGTTTCCAAATTTACAAAAAAATACAAACGGGAATGTTGAGACTGTACAAAACACATGCTTCGAATAAAAAAAGGATAATAATTAAATAATTAACGTTACAAAAAAAAAAACTGAAAAGTGTGTAAGGTAAAGCTCGATTTCAGATCTAATTTAAAAAAAAAAACTTTTGTAATTTTTTAGTTTTCGTCAACTTCGGCTTCTTGGTCTTCGTCGAATTCTGCATCTTCGTCTGCGGTGGCTTCCTGGTATTGTTGGTATTCGGAAACCAAGTCATTCATGTTGGATTCAGCTTCTGTGAATTCCATTTCGTCCATACCTTCTCCAGTGTACCTGTAACAAGGAAAAACACCTTTAGAAAACAGAACTCTTTAACAATCTATATATCATCTCTAATTCAGACTAGAAACTTTAACGATGTTCAAGTTTACTTAGAATTCAGACATTTTAAACATGCTGGCAACGTTGCAGAATTCCTGAAAAACGTGAAACACTGAAGAGGAAAAGAGAGGAAAAAGAAGAAAGGGAGACGTAAAGGAAAAGAGATGTAAAGGAACAGAGAAAAGACGAAGAGAAGAAAAGATGAAGAGAAGAAAAGATGAAGAGAAGAAAAGATGAAGAAAAGAAAAAATGAAGAAAAGAAAAGATGAAGAAAAGAAAAGATGAAGAAAAGAAAAGATGAAGAAAAGAAAAGATGAAGAAAAGAGATAAGAAAAGGAAGAGAGAAGAAAAAGAAGAGAGAAGAAAAAGAAGAGAGAAGAAAAAGAAGAGAGAAGAAAAAGAAGAGAGAAGAAAAAGAAGAGAGAAGAAAAAGAAAAGACAAGAAAAAGAAAAGACAAGAAAAAGAACAGAAGAAAAAAGAGAAAAGGAACAGAAAAAGAAGACGGAAGGAACAGAAAAAGAAGACAGATGGAACAGAAAAAGAAGACGGAAGGAACAGAAAAAGAAGAGAGAAGGAACAGAAAAAAGAAGAGAGAAGGAACAGAAAAAAGAAGAGAGAAGGAACAGAAAAAAGAAGAGAGAAGGAACAGAAAAAGAAGAGGGAACAGAAAAAGGAGAGAAGGAACAGAAAAAAGAAAAAATGAGGGAGAGAAAGAAATAAGAAAACAAAAAAAAAGGAAAAGGAGAAAAGAAGAGAAATAATTAAGAAAAAAAGGAAGAGAAATAATTAAGAAAATAAGGAAGAGAAAAATTTATAAGGAAAAGAGAAGAGAAGAAAAAATAATGAATAAAAAAAGATGAAAAAAACACAAAAAGGACGAAAAATAAAACTAAAAATAGGAAGAAAAAACAAAAAAGAAAAGTAACAAACAGGAAAAAAATAGAAAGAAGAAAAGAAAAAGTAAGAAAAAGTAAGAAAAAGGAGGAAAAAGTGAATAGAGAAAAACAAGAATAAGAGAAAGTTGAAAAGAAAAAATGATGAAAAAAAAAAAAGAAAAGACAAAAAGAGAAGGAACATTTGAAATACGAAAAAATTTAAAAACTGACAGGAAAAAGAAAATAATAACTTTCAAAAAGGTAGAAAGGACTGGTAGGAGGAAACAAAACGGAAAATCAAAGAACGGAATAGGATGGATGGAAGATGGAAACAGGAACAGTAAGTAACAAAGGGGAAAAAAAGAAAAAGGACGAGAAGAAAAAATTGAGTTAAAAATGCAAGAAAAAAGAAAGACTGAAAAAAGTAAAAACAGTAAAAAGAATAAAAAAGAAACAACACAAGATAAAAAAAAGAAAACAAAACGCAAGAGGAAAATAGATGAAATACGAAAAACTTTAAAAATATGAGCAGGAAAAACAAAATAAGAAAGAAAACTTAACAAGTAGAAAGGACTGAGAAAGGGAAAACGGGAAATATGAAAAAAGGCAATAAAAAGACAAAAAACAAAGATTAACAAAGAGGAAACAGAAAGATGAAGAAAAATTAAGAGGAAAGCAAAAATAAAGATGAAATATTGGAGGAAAGAAAAAACAATAGAGAAAAAAAAAACACGAAAAGATGGAAAAAGGAAACTACACAAAAAAAATAAAAAAGGAGCACAATGGAGGAAATAGTAGAAATACGAAAAAATAAATTGAAAAACATAAGAAAAGGAAGAAAATGAGAAAGAAGACTTTTCAAAAAGTAGAAAGGACTGAAAGGACGAAAAGAAAATGAATAGTAACAAAGAGGGAAGAAAAGATAAAAAAAGAAAATGAGGAAAAAACTGAAAATAAGAAATAACAAAGAGAGAGAAAATAGAAAGAGAAAGATAAAAAGAAAAAATAAGAAAAACTATTTAAAAAAGTAAAAAAGATAAAGGAGGAAAAAGAAAACAAAAAGGAAGAAAATGAGAAAAGAAATCTTTTTATAAGTAGAAGAAAGGACGAAAAAGAAAACGGAAAATAGAAAAAAAAACGGAAATAAGAAAGGAATGAAAGATGATGAACAAGAAAAGTAACAAAGAGGGAGAAACAAAATGAGAAACAGCAGATAAAAAAGAAAATGAGAAAGAACACTTTTAGAAAAGTAGAAAGGACTGAAAAGAGAAAAAAAAACGAATAGGAAGAAAATAATAAAGAAACAAACTTTTTATAAGAAGAATGGACGAAGAAAACGGAAAATAGAAAAAACAGAAATAAATAATAAGTAAAGGACGAAAAACAAGAAAAGCAACAAAGAGGAAAAAATAGAAAAAACAAAAAGAAAAAAAAGTAGAACGGGCTAAAAGAACAAAAAAGAAAACGGAAAATAAGAAAAAAGGAATAAAAGATGAACAAATAAGAAAAAAGAAATAAAAGGTAAAAAGGTAAGAAAAGTCAAAGATGAATAGAAAGAAGAAGAAAAGATAAAAAAGTAGAAAGGACGAAAAGAGGAAAGAAACCAAAAATTACTAAAAACGGAAAATAAGAAAAAATGAATAGAAGATGATAAACAGGAAGAAGTATAATGAAAGATAGAAAGAGCAAGAAAAGAAGACAGAAATAGAAAGAGGAAAATTAAGACAAAAGACAAAAATTAAAGAAGAAAAAATAGGAAGAAGGAAAAAGGAAGAAACTTGAAAAAAGCATTTAAGTTTAAAAAATACCATTATTTTACTTTTACTTGGAATTCAGAAATTTAGATTGGCAAAGTTCCCAAAGATTTTTAAAAATGTAATCATAGGAACGGTGAAACAATGATAGAAATAGGAAGAAAACCCATTGAAAGTAGAAAAAAAAAAGAGTAGGAAAACCTGGAACACAATTGTACATTTATATATTTTCTTATTCAGACATTTTGAAAATGTTGGCAACGTTGCATATTATGTTAAAACAATACCTAAAAAAAAAAAAAAACGCAAAACAATGACGAATGAAAAATATTAAAAAATAAAAAATATATGAGAACAAGAGGAAAAGAAAATAAGAAAAACGAAACATGTTAGTAATTTTATGTAGTTAACTTGAAATTCAGACATTTTGAACACTTAGGAAAAGCTGCCCAACTATTTTTAAAAATTTGATGAGTAAAAAAAAGGTGTGACAATAATAGAAATAGGAAAATAAACCACGGACAGTTGAAAAAAAAGTAGAAAACATAAATCTAAAAATAGTTGTTACTCACCAATGCAAGAAAGCTTTCCTTCTGAACATAGCGGTGAATTGTTCTGAGATACGTTTGAACAACTCTTGGATGGCGGTAGAGTTGCCGATGAACGTGGCTGACATTTTTAGACCTCTTGGTGGTATATCACAAACGGCGGTCTTGACGTTGTTGGGGATCCATTCTACGAAGTAGCTGCTGTTCTTGTTCTGGATGTTAAGCATTTGTTCGTCGACTTCCTTCATAGACATCCTACCTCGGAACACCGCGGCAACGGTCAGATACCTTCCGTGCCTTGGATCGCAAGCCGCCATCATGTTTTTAGCATCGAACATTTGCTGTGTGAGCTCTGGAACTGTCAACGCCCTGTATTGCTGGCTGCCTCTAGACGTAAGTGGCGCGAAACCGGGCATGAAGAAGTGAAGACGTGGGAAGGGTACCATGTTGACAGCTAGTTTCCTAAGATCGGCGTTCAATTGACCAGGGAACCTGAGACAGGTGGTGACTCCTGACATTGTGAGCGATACTAAATGGTTCAAGTCTCCGTAAGTCGGGGTGGTCAGTTTCAAAGTCCTAAAGCAAATGTCGTAGAGAGCTTCGTTATCGATACAATATGTTTCATCTGTGTTTTCGACCAGTTGATGTACTGAGAGGGTGGCATTGTAAGGTTCTACTACTGTGTCTGATACTTTCGGCGATGGTACTACTGAGTATGTGTTCATTATTCTGTCGGGGTATTCTTCACGGATTTTAGAAATTAATAAAGTACCCATACCGGATCCGGTACCGCCTCCAAGCGAATGCGTCAATTGGAAACCTTGTAAACAATCGCATGATTCGGCTTCTTTCCTTACTACATCCAAAACTGAATCGACTAATTCAGCTCCTTCTGTGTAATGTCCTTTCGCCCAGTTGTTACCCGCTCCGGATTGACCGAAGACGAAGTTGTCTGGTCGGAAAATTTGACCGAATGGACCCGATCGTACGGAGTCCATGGTACCGGGTTCCAGATCGACCAGGATGGCTCTGGGTACGTATTTACCACCTGAAGCCTCATTGTAATAGACGTTTATTCTTTCGAGTTGAAGGTCGGAGTCTCCGTGGTAGGCTCCGGTGGGGTCGATACCGTGTTCATCGGAGATGATTTCCCAGAACTGGAAAAGAAGAAAATATGTTGTAACACAACTGATAATCGATTAATACTTTTATTATTAATGACAGTTATGGCGAAATACATAACACTATACGTCATTTTAGTGATGATGTAATTATGGTTCCACTGATAATTAAAGTGATAGTTGAGTGCGTTTTGTTTACTGTAACATTTTAAAATTCCATTTAAAATGTTATTTTAATTGTATGACATCCTGTATAAAATAGTATTAGATTGATTTGCGATTTAATTATCGGCCATAGCAATATGCTTAGAGGGAAATTTCGAACCTTTTCATTAACATTCATTTCTCATCTAATATCTCTAATTACCAGTTCAGTGTCGAGACTGTAAAAAATAGCGGTAAGTTAATAAATGTCATTAAAAAAAATATCTCAGTAGAAATTATATTTCTACTCATTATTACTGTTAGGTTTATTTATTTTGAAAGTCAATTTAAATTTATTAAATATGCTTTAGTTATTCATTTTGTGAGCTGGATTTACACATTGTTTATATTAATTAGTTTTTTTGTTATCTTGATTTACTTTTAAAAAAATAATTGTTTAAAAGTTAATTTATATATCATAGAAAATGATCGAGAAAAACAGAATTTATTTTTTGTTTAGGAAGCGAATGTAAGCAGTCTTAATTTTTTTAATTAAATTTTACAATATATTTATTATTATGAAAAAATGTTTAAAGATTGAATATGACACATCGTTGGAAAGGTGTTTGAATTACCTTTACAACGAGCTTTATCTTATTGCTTTACGATAAGTAGTTCTCAATTGCTTGCGTAGTTGCATACCACAGCTGGCAAGGCTCTATATCAATGAGTACCAGGAATAACGTGGTTCCGAGTCCATCGATGTTGGTTTGGAAAACCAGATGATTCGGCTAAATATCTGATATTTAGGGGTAATGTGCTCTGCTTACCAGCGTTTAAAATAGGCAGACATTAAATTAATAATTTTGATTAGATTTTTAAATACTATATATGAGGAGTTTGCTGCAAGAAGGATGCAGCTCCATTTTTGGTAATTGTTGGGAAATTGAAAAAAACTGTTTTTCTTTTAAAGTTTTTATTTTAAACTGAAAAACGAAGTGCCAATCAATAATATCGAGGTTTAGTCAATATTTGAAACTATTTTAAACCTTATAATTTTTGGAGAAATTAGAAAAAATTAGAAACAAAAGCTGTAGCTGCATCTTTCTTCCACCAAACACTTGAAAAAATGCGTACTTTGGCAAAAAAAATACCTAGTGAAAAGCCTTTATTAAGTAAGAAAAGTCAAAAGAATATAGGTCACCAAATACAAAAAAAATATAAAAAACAATAAAAATACGCAGGTTGGTATATAAAAAAAAATCAACATTCGAAAAAATCGAAATAATAAACTCACGCGAACCTACACTTCATTCATCTACCTGGTCATCATCATCCGTTCCAGATGTTTCAGGTCCCTGGTTCTCTGCTACAGCTTCACTTCTGAGGCAGTTGTAGAAAGCCATTTGGTCCATTGGAACGAATCGTGTTGCCAATTGCATTACATCCTGATACTTGGCCTTTTTGACAGGTATGAGATGGTCATACACTGGGATATCAGAAGAAACTGAGAGATCGATTTCAAGGTCTCTCAAGAGTTTAAAAAACAGAAAAATCGGAAGGCCAGTAGATATGCTAACTTTGATACCATCCAAGTGTTCCTTGCTGTATTCAAAAATGCGGTATTTTGAAATCTGGAACCTTTGTCTGTCCTCATTTAAGATCACTTTTTTAAAATGTCCTTCATAGTGACCACTGCAGTTCAGGATCATATTTTGTTTTACCAGAATAGGGATGAACTTTTTGGATGATTGCTTGATAAAATCTGCGTATTGTTTAGGGCTGAAAACGTAGTCCTTCTTCCTCAAAAACTTCTCAATAACTCCGAAGCACCGATCACATGGTAGAAAGCTGTGACCCGGCTCAGGAAAACGATGTTCAATCTTGTCAATAGACGTATTCTTACGAGCAAATACAAAAATTGAGTCATTACAGAGTTTTTGTTTTGAGCAGCAGCATTATCAGAGAAGAGATATAAAACTTTGACATTTTTTGGGAGTATATTATTTATGTAATGGTACAAAAATGACACCACCTCGTTTGGCGACTTTCGAGCTGTCGTTTCATCGTACATATAAAAGTGTGCTTGATTCGTCTTGGCAGAATGAACGCAGAAATTATATGTCCACAACTGGCGTTTGTAAAAAGCTTCCCCAGCAGGAACTTTTGGAAGGGGAAGGTTTTGCTGGACGTCAAATGTCAAAACTTCAACTTCATCGTTCTCTTTGCACAAGTTACTTTTCTTATTCAGCTCCTTAAAAAAGAAATCGGCCTTAGTCTGCTTTTCCGCTTCTAATTCTTTTATTTCGTTTTCGTCGAGGGTCACATCTTTAAGTTTGTTATGCAAGATGTCACATTTTTTGCACGTATCAGAGCGAGGTGAGCCAAAACCGTAGTTGAAGTTTTCCTTGAAATATCGATAATAAAAGTCATAGGGTACTTTGGTTTTATATAAAGGGTCACTGGTACTTTCCGGTTCATAAAGTTCCAAATAGAGCTCATGCATTCTTTTTATACTTAGATCTGGAGACAAATAGAATCGACGAGACTTGTTTCTACTGTAATGCGACTCGCGTCTTGGAAAACTCTTGATATGCATGGTCACATTTTGCAGTATATCCTTTGATTTCCGGTTAGGTCTATTTTCGTGTTTTCCCTTGTTACTAGTTGGTGCTGTGATATTTCTGCCACGAAAACTTTGAGCAATGAGGTCTACACGTTTCCTTGATATGCCGTGAATTGAACCAAAAGCATGTCTACAAACTCGTACTGATAGGTGGCCCAGTCTAACAAAATACTTGTGAGAACAAGTACGCCCTTGTCTTTGATTAGTTTTTTACGAGTTCTTTGAATGGCAGCAGTTTGAATCAATCCTCCCAAATAGGTATTTTGCAAATTTTTGTCGCCTATTTTGTTAAACTTTTCTAGGAGAGCGTTTCTTGTTTCTTCATCCACACTCTGAAAACACTTGTACCTACAGTTACAGTTCGATCCAGTTAATCTCGGTCCCTTCTGTACCCCTTTATAGTTCGTATACATTTTTCCTTATGCAGCAGATTTTTTATTAATATTTCTTTTCCAGGCAGCAGGATTTGCCATTTTTCTATTTTTTGGTGCAGGAACAGTAGGCTCCTCCGTGGGCAAATTGTTGTCTACCGATTCAGTGGATTGTTCAGAGATACGTTTTTTGTTTAGACGCTTCCTTCTAAAAGAAGGTCCTGCCACATCAATATCAGAACTTTCGTCAGAGCTTGAAGGCTCATAATATGGTGAGTCACTAGCACTAAATGGCTCCGACTCAGTTTCACTCATTTTTAAAAAGCGGCAACGCAAAACAAAACTACGTGAAAAACAGATTACAATAACAATGCATGGAAAGCACTTATGCGACTAACAATAGTTAGAAACAAATCAGTCGTTGCCGCAATGCAGACAGCAAATGACCTTGCATTTCATGAAACCCAACGAACACACACGATCGTTTGGTACAAAAAGGATGCAGCTCCGGAGCTGCACCCTTCTTGCGCCAAACAACTGAGGAGGCAGATACATAAGTGCGGGGATAATTTCTTCATTTATTAACGGATCTGCATCGTTTTTGTACCAGTCGATAGGCCAATTTTTTTTGCATATAACGTATATTTCAACTCAAAATGACACAAAAAAGGAGCTGCATCCTTCTTGCAGCAAACTCCTCATATTTGTTATTAACATTTTACAAACAATATGAAAATGTTCCGTTATCCACCTTGTATATTAATACAACCACGCTTCATATAAACCCATTATCATAATTAATTAAGACAGGAAGAAACTTAAATATAGTTTAAATTTAGAAACTTAACTCAAGCTTATCTAATAAGTCACAATGCAGACATTTATGCAGACTAAAAAAAATATATGGTCTATTTAAAACTTATACCGAAATTATTACTTTTTATTTTTAATCAGTTTGACTATTATAATTGAATCGTTTAGTCGTAAACTATAATTGAGACGGAGGTCCATAAATATTAAATTAATTTACATAGAATTGAAACGTTTTATTTTAAGCATGACTCATAAGGGTGGGATGAAATAATATATCAATAAATTTTATACCTAATAATAATCGAGGTTATAAAATTACATTTCGAAAACAATTGATTCAATAAATATAGGTCGAAAGTTCAACGATTCGTTTTATGAATTTGACATCGATATATTTAGAAGATGAGGTAAGGCTATTAAATTTGTTATATTACGGTTAGATAAATTCGGTTTTATCTCCACTCTAATTGGCTGTATTAAAGATATTTTTTATTTTTATTGTTGATATATTTATAATGCAGTTATGCGGTCTATTTCGAATTGATTAATTTGTCATGTCTTATCACAAAAAATCGTAAAAATTTTATTACTTTTTTAATTAAATCATCCGTCTGGGTATTGTTTGAACTTGAAATATTTCAAAAAAAGATAAAAACGGGCGGTGGTTTTGTTTAATTAGAATAAAGTTAAGCAAATATGTTGTTTTTTAGTGATTTATTTTTAGTTTTCAATATTCTTCATTATTTTCGTCATTTAACCTAATTATATTCTTTTTTTTATTATTTTTAAAGAGTGAATATTTATAGAGGATTTACAATTTTAATTAAATTAATCCCAAAGCCAGAATTTTCGAAATCAAATAAATGTTCTTTCGGACTACGGTGTGTCTAAATGGGAAAAATGTTTATCTTACATTCTTAATAAAATGTTCTGTATCACTTGGAAATCTATAATCAAGCATCAAATCTTGTAAAAATAAGTGGTATACTTAATATGGAGCAAATTATTAATAAAAATGTTGGTATGACTTAAAAAATATGTTTAAATTTAAATCAATGCACTTATATTTAAGTAATTTCGAT